TTTTGAAAAGGCTGCCACCCTGGCATTGTGAAAATTTGTTGTAGTATGAGAAGTAAACTAGATATAAACTTTTTATTAATACATATACTAGTGGAAAAATATGAATATTTTTATTTTTGTCTTAATTTTCAAATCGTGCGATACTTTCCGAGGTGACTGTACCTGTTATTCTATAACTATATTCATTACTTATATTCTGAAAATTTAATAAAGTATACATGCTGCCCAAATTATTTTGGGATGCCATAATTATAATTTGGGATGCCATAATTCATTCAATTTATATATAATTTACTATGTAAAGTGCCAAAATAATTTGGGATGCCATAATTGAATTTGGGATTTTACTTATAATTACGGCAGCCCAAAATAATTTGGATGGCATGTATATAATAAAGTCTTTATTGTCATTCTTCTAGAATTTTTTGTTAATACAATAATAACTGAAAGACATATTATTATCTGTCTTAAAAAAGATAAAATAAAAAATTATTTTCAATGTCAAACAGTTTCAGAAAAATACTTCACATAATTATATATTATAAATTTTATCTTTTAATTTAATTTTAATAATTGATATTTTTAAATAAGATAAAATTGTTTAAATATACAATAGTTTAAATATTAATTTGTATTTCAATCTTTTAAAAACTTTCAGAAATTAAAAGAAAACATTAAATAAAAGACTTTTACTAACAGTTAAATTTGCCATGAATTTATCTCTAAAAGCCTATAATAAAGATAATAAAAGTACATAAGAGCTAATAAGAGATTTGAAGATTAAGGTAAACCCAGTATAAAATTGTAAAAATATAAATAAATTGAGAAATATAATAGAAAATAATATATTGCATTAGTATAAAATTTATTACCTAAAATAAAAATAATAAAAATGAACCTTTATATTTATTAATATAATCTATATATAATAATTTGTTTATTTATTATTGAATTAAAAAGATTTTATATCAAGCCAATAAAATTGATATACTGTAAGTGCTAAAATAAGACTAATTTATATTCATTACTATTCTGATGCTTATACTAATAATAAAAGCAAACTGAATGATAAAATACCAAAATGGTGAATTTTTTCCATTTGAATTTCATCATTAGAATCTAACAACAACAACAATAATAATTAATAATATTAACAATAAAATCTATATCTATATCTATACTTCTATATCTATATCTATATCTATATCTATATCTATCTATATCTATACTTCTATATCTATATCTATATCTATATCTATATCTATATCTATATCAACAGGTGGACATCCTTATATCACCTTGCCAATCATTTGCCGATCTTATAGTAAATTGGGTGATATCAGACTTTAAAGTTTTGGCCAAAGTCACAGAAGTTTGGCCGAAGCTTGAAACTTTTATAGGTCATAGTTTAGCTTATTTAAAATCAATGGCTGAAGTAATCATTCCTAATTTTAGGTAATTAAGAAGTTATGGCTAAATTTATACTTGCAATTATATTTGCTATAATTTATATAATAAATAGAAAATTTTCAAAATGCAATTTCTTAATCAATTTGACATAAAAAATTTATGAAATTACTATTAAAATGTTTGTCTTGACAAGATGAATCTAAAAAGTTATAAAACATTAAAATTTAATCACTGGTTGTCACAATATTATTAAAATAATTTAATTTTCAAATTATTATTAAAATTCAGCCCATTTTTGGGTTTTAGTTAATTTTTGGATTTGAAAATATTAATTTTTGGACTTTGGATGAATTTTGATAACAAATAAAATTTATATAGTTAAATTTGCAAAAAAATGGCATTTTTTATGTGATAATATTAAAATAGATGATCGGCAAAATGATCAGCAATAATGTAATAATATAAGGATATCCGCCCTGTTATCTATATCTATATCTATATCTATATCTTATCTATACCAGTGTTGGCACTTGGCCATTTGGCCATTTGGCCGTGGCCAAATGCCAATACAGCCTTAATAAAGTATTGGTATTTTGTTATTTGGCCAAAATTTGGCCAGGGTTGGCCATTGGCCATTTTGCCATTTTAGCCGGCCAAATCGGCCAAAAAAATTCTTGACTGCGGCCAAATGCCAACACTGTCTATACTATATAATAATTGTTTTTGTGTGTAATCGTAATGTTTAGACTACCCTGTATAAATAAATTTAAATTACGTAACATTGCTCCTATTGGGCACTTTATCACGTGACATTACACTAACTTCCAAAAAAGGAAAATTTACTTCCCATCAAAATAGGGAATTTTGGTTTCACAAATATTCTATAAAAGGAAATTTCTATGCCAATCACATAATTCTGGCCAGAATTAATTGTTACATGCAGGTCACGCTTTTTATATGTATGTATACGGTATACCGTTGCAAAGTAATAGATTAACGGCTAGTATAATCATGATAATCATAATAATAATAATGATAATAATAATAATGTAAATATTATTGCAGTATAATTGTATTAATAATAATAAATTTATATTAATATTATTATCAGTAATATACATATATATAATAAATAAAAAAATACTTTTCTATTTCTTCTGAAAGTAAACAGTAGAAGAATACTACTTTGAAAAGTAGTAGTACTATTACTAATAAAGTTGCTTGCCGAAAATAAAAAGGCTATTATCGAAATGGTAAAAATAATTTCAACATTTCGATATGATGAAATGACAAAATTATTTTATTATTAAAATTGATTAAAATGCAAATGACGAAATGGAAAAATAATTTCGACAATTTCGACATGATGAAATTCACTAATTTTGACAAGCAACTTTAATTACTAATAATAAAGCTAAAAAGCTAAAAAGCAACAATTACATATACTGAAAAAAAAATCTTGAAAATTATGACAGAATATGACAACAGGGCGGACATCTCTATTTTATCACGATTTTGCTGATCATTTTGCCAATCATTTGTCCAATATTGTCACAAAAAAATACTGTTAAAGTTTATTTTTTTTACAAACTCTATATAATAATGTATAAAATTTTGATTTTATTTACTTTATTTATATACTATTAATAAATTAATTTATAAAATAGTTCATGAAGATTTTACTAAATATTAGCCTTATATTAACCTTAATAATTGCAAGTATTCTTTTAATGATAACTTTTTGTTTATTAAAAATTATTCATGTTTATTTTAGCCATAGATTCTTGAATACTTAAATAATATATTATAAAAGTTTCAAGTTTCACCTGAATATCTGTGGCTTCTCCCGAAGCTTCAAAGTCAAATTAGCAAATGATAGGCATATGATTTGTAAATACTAATTATTGAATATTTTGGCCTAAATCTAACTTTGGCACTACATTTTTTTTTACCACAATAATTTTATAGTATATTTTTGATAACCTAAATTACCAAACAAAATGATTATAAATTTTTTTTGAGCAAATATGGCTTTGCTTGAAGCCCTCAAAAAACATGATAATCAATATATATGATCGGCAAATGATCGGCAAGGTGATAATTAGCATGTCCGCCCTGTTGAATATGACCCTTCTTTTAAAGGATAATATTCACAAAATAGTTATTTATAATAATGTTTTTTTTAAATAGTCCTAATTTAATATTCTAAACTACTTTAAGAAATGGGTTCATATAATAGCAATAAAATTGAAATTACAGAAGAAATACATCATGTTTACTGTATCAATAAATTTCTTCAAGTCAGTTTTAAGATACTGAAACAATGGAGTATAAACTGCTTCATTAGAAAATTGCCTGTATAATAGTTTTCAGTAATCTGAGATCTAAAACAATGCAAAGAACCCAAAAAATTCTAGGCTGTCTTAATAAATATTCCTGAATCTATGATGATAAATATATTATATTTTACTGAAAATCTAGCTCAATTACTACTTGCATCTACAGAATGCAAAGCTTTCAAGATAGTTTAAGACAAGGCATACTGTAAATTAATAATGTATTACAACTCTTGGATGGACCTGAATAAGGTTACTAATATGAATTTCACTTTACAAGAATTTTCAGGTATATGAAAGAGATACTTAACACCAGTCATGAATAGGTCTAAAAATAGACCACCAAAGAAAGATTTTTACTACAAGCAGAACTAAGATAATGATCCAAAAGTTGTATATAAGAATTCAGGTAACAAAAAACAGAAGGGCAAGTCTTTTGGAAAAAAACTTTAACGGTTCAGATAAACATGGTTTTGGCTGAAATTAAATACTAATTAAATTCTTATTAAGAAGACTGAAAGGAAGACTGTACAAATTTGGTAAGCTATAGGCAGGGCAAATGGAACACTATAGTGATTACTTCATACCTGAATAATTTTTTAAACCCTTTAATTTTTACCCTGACTTTTTTTGTTATTACTCCTTTTATTTTGTTTTTAGCTTCAGGGTTCATGTTGCAGTTACAGTAAGTCACCAGAAGGAGGGTTCCCCTTTAAGAAAGAATTGTTTCAAACAACACTTACTCCCCTAGCTAGAGTTTCCAACTGACAGTACACTTATGAGGTCTTTGTATATATGATGGAAGGTTTAATGCTTAATGAATTAGAATAAATGTAATTTGTTCTTAATTTATTCGTTTTTCTATTCTAATAAAGTATTAAATGTGCTGCAGCCAAAATAAATAAATAAATAAATAAATTATGAAATATTTCATTACACTAATATTATTATGTATATATATACAGTATATATAAAAAAAATATAAATATTGCTTATAAATCAGCTAACAATATTCTAAAATCATTTGATATAGACCGTAAACGTCAAGATCTGATTCTATGATCACCATATGATTGCATGATATTGACCGTAAAATATCAAATACTATTCACAAATCGGGCATCATAAAATCGCCCTTAAATATCCACAAATCAGACGAATATAACCAAAAATCACCCGGTATATTTGCAAACAGGTTAAGACTATTTTTATTAATTTGACTTGTGTATTTAGCCAAAGGCATTGTTACATTCCTCAGTAAAGGTGTCCATATTCACGTTCAGATATAGCTTGGAGCAAAGTATCATTTTTATATAAGAAGTAGAAGTGTTGGAGAAGGTGCTGAACATAAATTAAGTCGTTTGATGCAGTAGAGTAATTGATTAAAATTTCGCCCAGGCATCTGCCTAAAGATTCCAAGTCTCTTATATGTTTAAACTTATCTAAAAACTGCATGACACCTTCCTCACAATTGACTAGAAACTTATCAATTGTTCTTCCCTTGGTAAAATTTACTGCCTTTATCTCCTTGTCTTGAAGTTGATTTGCGATAAATATTTTATAATCAAGGGGCAAATATTTTGTACAAACTGTATTATAAAAATTTATCACCCAATTGATATGGTGCCTCATCTCGTTTGTAGTCTAGCACGTCCATATAATCATAAATAAGCTTGTCACCTGGTAAAACACGCATTTGATATGCTTTTAGAGCATCACTTGCAATATCTTGTCGTTTTTTGGTCGTTGGCTTTTTATTTTCAACTTCCTTTGTAGATGTGCTCGATTCGGTCGTTTTGTCCTTCGATTCATCAGTCAGAATATGAACACTCATCGGAAGTTTCGCGAAAAACATTTGTGAGCGAAACAGTCTTTTATTTTCAACTTCCTTTGTAGATGCTGTCTCTTATACACATCTAGATGTGTATAAGAGACAGGATGTGCTCGATTCGGTCGTTTTGTCCTTCAATTCATCAGAGTCAGAATATGAAACTCATCGGAAGTTTCGCGAAAACATTTGTGAGCGAAACAGGTACTATTTCAGAATCGGAAGATGAACGCTCATCATCATCATATGATAAATAGCTCCTTTGTCTTTTTGGTAAAGATACTTTCACAGATGGGTCAATTGATTTTTTATTCTGCAGATATAATAATCGTCGTTAAAAAATACTCACATAAAATTCGAGACATTTAAATTATGTTTTTTTGTGGACAAAAATTTAAGATATATACCGACCCTTTTTCTTTTTTCGTGATTCAAGTGGTTCTTCTTGAACTCGTTTGCGTTCATTCACACGGGTTTCAATTCTTTTTGTAACATCTCCCTGTAGTGCACGATAGCTGATAAGGAACAGACAATAAGTAAATGGTGGTGCACTGGTACAGTCATCAAGAAGCAAGCAGCCTTTCCCGATGCAAGCAAGCAGCCTGCATGGTAATTGATGAGGCACATCATGGAATATAACGAGTATACTTGCCGTGAAATCTCGTCTCCACTTTAACAGCTTGACTACCGACATTTCGTCATATTGTTTGCCGATGGTGTCCAGTCTTTATTGTATCGATCATGCTCCGTTTCTTTTCTTCCAGACCACCTACCTACTCGTAAGCGGAAATCCAAGAACTTCATGAGAGAAGGCTCATCTGTATTCTTCCAAAACACTAAATATTTACAAACGACCCGGTTAAAGCATTGTCATAAGAAATCACTTCTATAGTTTGTCTTACCACTGTATTTCAGAGCGTTTAAACATAGTGCATTGTACACGAAATAATCAATATACGGTATATGTAGAAGAGAAGGAATTATACATATGAACTCCGTGATAGATTTACAGATCTATATAAAAATCATGATAATAAGTCACATGATTCTCATCGTTAAAATTTGATGGACGAAAATTTAGAGGAAGTATTTAATGCGAGTCCCAGCATCAAGTTATTTCTTTCTCACATTTACGAAAAATATCTATAACTCCACACTCTTTTACTATACTAGATTTCCGAAATAAATTATCCCACTCATATTTACAAATTTTTGTCTATCTATATCTCTTCCAAACACACAGACTATGTAATCTCGAAAGAGAACTTCTCTGGGATTAAGAAATTTCGAACCTATAGTATAATTACGGAAGTATTAGCAACCGAGGTAAAAAAATAATACCGATTTATACTTACCATCACGATTCATTTTCACATAATTCCATTCAGCCTCATACACGAGAAATTTATTACTTAATTTTTTCTGTTATCGCCGGTACGTAGGGATGTTAACAGTTTATGATTGGATGGTTCGAACCGCAGTTTGATCATAGGACCGGTTTCAGTTCAGTTCAAACGTCAAACCAAACCGAGACCGAACCGATAGAAACCGGTTTAGTGAACCGGTTTTAGATCGGTTCAATTAACGGTTACGTGTATCTGCACGCGTAACTTTTTACAATAAAAGAATAACGGATTTTACATTCTTACATTTTTTTATATCACCTTGCATTATTACAACTATGTCGGGAGTTTTTGAAAATGACGATAATAATTTATCAGATGATTCCTTAGCATCTGATGATGAAAGAATTATAAATAAGAAATTGTCAGCAGATGTTTGGGAGTTTTTTCAAAAAATTCAAGATGAGGAAAGTTGGTTAATTACAAACTATAAGTGTATTTTGTGTGCAAAACTTTATTCACCTGGTAATCCAACATCTACACTTCGACGTCATTTAACTAAAAAACATCCATCACATTATAAAAAACCTGAAACCCGCCAAACTACTTTACGTTTTAAACCTTACTCTCCATCAAAATCTAAACCTATCACAGATTCTTTGGTTGATTTTGTTGCAACTGATTTGCAACCTTTTACCATTGTTGAAAATCCTGAATTCAAATTATTAATTAATAAATTGAATCCCCACTATATTTTACCTTGCAGACAAACCTTAAAGGAAAAATTCATAGAAAATTATAAAATGAGAAAAAATGTGTTAATTAATGAAGTCTCACAAATTAACTCAAAAATCTCTCTTACTACTGATATTTGGACTTCAGAAATCTCAAAAGATTGTTATCTTGGAGTAACAATGCATTATATTAACAACAATTGGGAATTAAAAAATCTCTTACTTGATTTAATTCCTGTAAATGGTTCTCATACAGCTGGGTTAATTACTAGCAAGCTTTTACAAATTCTTGAAGAGTTTAGTATCAGTAATAATATTCTTGCATTAACTACAGACAATGGAAGCAACATGATCGCATGTGGTAATCAACTAGCAACTGAATTAGATCAGGAGTTTAATAATATGGCTTTTACTCATTACAGATGTGCTGCACATATTATAAATTTAGCAGTAAAAGCAGGAATGAGTCATGTTGGAAATGAAATCAAAAAACTTCGTCAATTTGTTGTTAAAATCAAGAATTCACCATTATTTTTGGATAAATTATCAGAAATTTGTACCCTTAAAAAAGTTAAATTTCTTAAACCAATTTTAGATATAGACATTCGCTGGAATTCCACATATTTTATGATTAATAGACAAATCTTAATGCAGGGTGTTTCAGAATTACTTGCAACAACAAATGTTGAAGAACTTGGAGATTTATTTCCAACAATATCTGAATGGCGACATATTAAGGTATTTTTTATTTTATAAATTATTATTTATTTTATTTTATAATTATATATTTATTAATTATTATTTTTTTTTTTACAGGAATTAGCAAAGGTATTAGAACCTATGTATGAAGCAACCAATTTATTATCATCATCAAAAAATCCTACACAAGGTGATATAAGATTGGTTTTTAATGGAATGTTTAAAAAATTGGATCATTATCAAAGAGGAAATCACCATACACAAAAGGCAATAGCATCAGCAATTTGTAATAAATTGAAAGCCTATTGGGACAAATATTTGAATCAATCTTCCATTACTTCTTCAATATTAGATCCACGCTACAAAACCACATTATTTAGTCATAATGATATAACTGAAATTATTAGTAAATTACAAGAATTATATTTGTCATATTTACCCTTAAATAATCAAACCATACCATCAGCACCAGCACGATCATCTCGTGATTATTTTCTTAATTTACTTAATCCAAATAATATTCGTCAAGAAGTATCGCATGATGAATTAGATCGATACTTAAATTCTCCAGTAGATAGTAATACAGGTTCTTTAATTTGGTGGAAAACTTATGAAAAGGATTACCCAGTACTATCTCAAATAGCTAAGGATTATTTAACAATCCAAGCAACGTCGGTTCCATCAGAAAGGGCATTTTCAATTTCGGGATTAACTATTTCAAAAACTAGAAATAGGTTAGATCCTGAAACGGCAAGGGCAATTATATGCATGAAAAATTGGATATCAGAAAAAGAAAGAATGGAAAATTGAATCAATACTTGCAATATGTCTTTTTTTTTTTCCTTTTTTTTTACATTATGTGAAATTTTGTTGGTAATTTTTTTTCTTATAATAAAAAATTTTTTGACGATATACGATATATTTAAATTCATGATCTGCATTACACAATTTTGTATAAAATACTATAAATATCCGGTCTAAACTTCGGTCTAAACTTCAGTCCAAACTTCGGTTCAAACTCTGGTTCTAAACCTATAACGGTTCGGTTTTGTACTCAAACCACCAGTTTTTGGACCGAAAACCGGATGGACCGAACCGTTAACATCCCTACCGGTACGATACTGCGCAAAGTTCCAAGAATTCGGCACGTGATGCTTATATAAGATAAATTTTTTTGATGCACTGACGGCACTGCGCCAGACAGCAAGACTTTTGCTGTGCCGTTGCATGTGACGACTGACGAGATTCATGTATTGCGTCTATTGTACGCGTGATGATGGTCAGTAATTTTCTCGGCGAAGATCAAAATGCCGATATATAACAAGAAGAGCAATATGTCCGTTTTATTTTGGAACAACTATAGCGGAAAGTTGATTAAGATTGTGGTGACATGTTTCAAGAAGCTAACTGAACAATAAACCAACCTACCAGTAACCTACCTTTATTACTTTGCAGAATATACGAGTTTGTTTAACTGTAAATATTGATGATGCAAATAATGTTAAGTTTTGATTATTTTGCTTGATTTTTTCGTTTTACTTATACAAGGCTGTTAAAAGGGTTCACTAACTGGGACATTATCTTTTTATATAATTTGCAGGATCGATTTTGGAATACGCTTATTACGTTAATGATCGCATCACGAAAATCTGATCAACGGACTCTCCTTAATTTAACAATAAAAGCTATCCATATGTAAAGATCATCAAGGGGCCTTTTAATAATAATATACGTAAGAATTTTAAGAATATGCGAGAAAGTTTGAGAATAAATTATTTTGCGCAGTTACTTGTTCCTGTGATACATCTATACTAAATGATACTGCGCATTTATCAAGTTCTGGATCATTTATTTCGTTACAATAAAACTTGACCGAAAAATATTAGCATACATGGTCCCACAACCCATAACTGGTAAATTTGGCCCTTATTGCGTCTTTGCTTTATTGATCGTACGAGAAAAAAATACATAATACAGGTTACATGATCAAACCAAAGTGATAAAAAATTTCATATGAACAAAGCATTATACTGCTAGCCCTTCCGTGATGCTAGTATGAGTTTTGAAATCCTAAATGAGAAAATTGTCTATTAACTTATTGCTTCCTTGCAAATATACTGTATAATACAACTGAAAGTAAATTCACCTTAACTGCATAAATGTCTTGACTGGAAATTTCCTCTCCAGTATTTTTTTTCGCTGGCACTTTTCCATACTGCTTATTCGGAAGATATGTATTTGGAAAAAAAATCTTTCATTGCACAGCCCGATATCTAGGTAATCGATCTCACATGACTGGCTTATACTACGATTGCAAATTTGCTTGAACTGTTGCAGGTAAGACAAATATTCTATGAGGCGCCATGCTGTTCAAAAGTCTGGGGTTTAAACCCCAGATCAAATCCCAGATTTATCCAGGGTGAAAATGGATTAATCCATATTTCATCCCGGATTTTCCTATATTTCACCCCGGATTTGATCCATATTTTATCCCGCATATTTTATCCCAGATCTGATCCACATTTTACCCCGGATCTGATCCACATTTTACCCCAGATTAATTCCTTAAAATTCACCAAAAATTATATCACACCCAATTGTCAAACCCCGGATTAATCCATATTTCATCCCAGATTTGATCTATATTTTATCCCGGATTAATCCATATTTTATCCCAAATCTGATCTATATTTTATCCGGATTATATTTTATCCTTAGACTATATCATAGGTTTTAAGTCATGTGATCAGATTTTTTTGTTTATGAGATCATTTTAGAAACTTCTCTTATAACTTTAAAATAAAGTAAAATTTCTATTAAAGTTTACATGAGATGTTTTGAATAGAGATAAAGATGACCCTGAAATTAGATTTTCCAAAATTCTGAACCCATAATCCGTAATTCCAAACTTCTGAAATCTGAAATTCCAGCCAAAATTGAAATTAAATATGTAAATTCAGCCGGAATTATGCACTTAATTCCAGCAGGAACTATTGAATTTCGATTTTGGCTGGAATTACAGGTTAATTAATTTTAATTATGAATTAATTTTGGCAGAATTTCAGATTTCAGATTTTTGTTAAATTAATTTCAAATTTCAGGGCTATCCTTAAATATAGAGATTACATGATTTTAAATTATTACCAGATGTCATACCCTTTACGTTTAATTTCAGCCAAGTTGCCAAGTTTGTAATGCTGGTTCCATTCTCACGTTATATCATATGACCGAAATCTTAGGTAAGTTTTCAAAAAATATTTTTCAAAAATAAAATAATTTTTTAATTATTTTTTTTTTCATTTTTATAGGAACTGACATTACACTTATTGAAATTTTAGTTCCAATAAAATTGGAAAATTATACATAAAGTTATGACTTTTTAAAAGGAAAATTTTCATATCAATCATTTGGTATTATTTATTTTATTTTTCTTATTTAACAATTTTATAATTAGAAGGCAAAAAAAACCAAGCCCTTTAGATAAATATAAACAATAAATATTTTTAAATTATATAGGAAAGAAAATTTGTTGGTATTATTGAGAAAATATTTAGTATTATAATAATCATATATATAATTCATTTTCTAACTATTACTGGAGGTGATGATCACCAGGTGATTGAAATTATGATAATCAACCAGCATTAAAAAATATAATGCCAGTAAAAATTGATAATTCTGGCTAATGAAAATAATTACCTGGTGATTTGAAGTAAAAAACTTATTTTTATACATTTTTTATAAATAAATATGTTGAAAAATATTTTGAGATTTTTTTAAAAATTTATTATTAACCTATTAACAGGCTGATTAAAATAAAATATTTTTATTATTTATTCAGTGCAATACCTCTATAATAGGTATCTCTTGTATTTTATATGATGATCTAATAATTAGAATTTTATAAAATTTCATTATTAAATAGTTTTTAATAAAATAAATTGATTAAGTAAATAAAAAATTTTCTCAATTTTTTTACTTATATAATATAAAAATTATGATAAATTTGATTGGTTAAAATTATATAATATTGAAATTTATATATTTAGTAATCATAATTCTGGCTAAATTTATAATACTAACTAGAGTTAAGATTAATTATTAAAGTTTTTTTAAAAATTTTTTAAAAAGAGTAGCGTAAGGAGAATTTAATTTTATTGGTTGATCAGCAAGAATTTTAACTGGCTAAAATCAATAATTGACTTCGTAATATTGGATTTATATCACCAGAATAAAATCAAATATAGATAAAATCAAATCTGGGATAAAATATAAATCAAATCCAAGATAAAATATGAATTAATCCGGGATAAAATATGGATTAAATCTGGGATGAAATATGGATTCAGTTAATTCAGGGTTTGACAATTGGGTGTGATGTAATTTTTGGTGAAATTTAAGGAATTAATCTAGGGTAAAATGTGGATCAGATCCGGGATAAAATATAGATCAAATCTGAGGTGAAATATAGGAAAATCTGGGATGAAATATGGATTAATCCATTTTCACCCCAGATAAATCTGGGATTTGATCTGGAGTTTAAACTCAGACTTTAGATCAGTATGGCGCTTTATAATATTCCATTTTATTTTTATACCATTTACTATGTAATCCATAATTCCCATGCTTTTCATTGCAGATAGGGCATGATGAATCCTATGATCAAATTATAATTATCAATCCTCTTAAAACTATTTTAAAAATATGTTATAATATATATTAGTCATGACTCATAAATCAATGAGTCATGACTAATCGTATAATTTAGTTAATTATAGTAAATATACTCATACAATTTTGAAATGCTTTAAGATGGATTTGATAATTAATTCTAGATAGGATTTGACTTCAAAATAACAGGCTCTTTTTTTTACATTGCTCAGAAAAGATAAATAGAATACATTATTTTCTGATTTTGAATTTATGAGAAGGTGGTTTTAATAATTGTCATGGCTTATAACCAGTTCTTTTTTATGTTTTTTATTTATGTTGAAATCTTATCTGTCAAAATGGTAAGCCAGTTAATTTAGCATGCAATCCAGATTTAAAAAATCAAATATGTAAATAAAATAATATTTATTTATTGTCTGAAGCATAGCGAAGGACTATATAATTTTATGAAGGTCGATGACAATTAGTGTCATGTAGTGATATCTGGTTATCTGCACACGTTATTTCTGATTGGTCCACACAAAATGTGTATTGGAAATTTCATGCTACATCAAAAATAAACAAGTAAAAAAGTTTATGATTACCTTTTTTTTAGATTTCAGCTAGTAAATATATTTTTCTTTTAAACGACTTTCTTATTTTTTTCCTAGGGTTTCTGGATTTCTTGTACATACCGGACTGGTGAGTTGTTTTTTATTTGTTTTGCTTTAAAAAAATGTTTTTAGCATTTCATTTTTATTTTCTTTTATCTAGAAACACAGGTTTTTTGTACAGTCCCCTCTCGATATAACGAACCCTAGGTTCCAGCTGATCAGGGCTTCGTTATAAGCAACTTCGTTAACACTATAACGAATTATTCGGTATTGTATAATGAATTCTTCGGTATAGGAATATCGGTTATACAGATCATGTGACTTGTTGATCTGATTACCGATAATTTAACATTTTTTTTAATCTTTTTTTTATAGGGGTGCTTTCTAAACTTCAAAATAGATGCCTAGAATGAGAAGTAAGTGGGAACTGGGGGTTTTTTATATTAATTTTGTTTAAAAACATTTACTAATGTTCTTTTTTTATTTTTTTATTATAGGGAACTTCCTGGACTTCGAAATGGACGCTTGAGACAAGAAGTAAGTAGGGAACTCGATTTTTTTTATTAATTTCGTTTAAGAACATTTACTAATGTTCTTTTTTATTTTTTTTATTGTAGGGACTTCAAAATAGACGCTTGGGACAAGAAGTAAGTGGGACAACTCAATTTTTTCTTTTAATTTTGTTTAAGAACATTTACTAATGTTCTTTTTTATTTTTTTTATTGTAGGGACTTCGAAATGGACGCTTGAGACAAGAAGTAAATGGGACAACTCAATTTTTTCTTTTAATTTCATTTAAGAACATTTACTAATGTTCTTTTTTTATTTTTTTATTATAGGGAATGCTTCCTGAAGTGTTCTATATAAAAATGTTTATTATAATTCCTTTTTTTTGTAGGAATGCTGTTTAACAATAACTGACTATATAATAAATAAATTATTAATGATATATTAATTTAACTAGGAGTGTCCTTACCCCTGTGATAAATATAAATTAATAACAATTCACATCGAATCCTAATACAACCGAATTAATGTAAATTAATGTAATTCTGCCTAAATATTAAATAAAATAGCCAGAATTATTAATCCTGATACAATCCTGATACAATCCTGATCCATAATTTAAATATAAAACACAGGGGTGATATTTAATGTCATAATGCATCAATATTTATTAATAATTACATTTAATTATAAAGAAATTCTTCGTTATAACTGAAAAAAATTCGTTATAAAAAAAATCCGTTATATCGAGAGGCATTTTTATATAAGAAATTCACACACTTTACTTCGTACTATGTTATACGGTAAATAAATAGTAAACTTCGTTATATCAAGGTTTTTTTCATATTTAAAATCGGTACCACACTGTATGATCCGTTATATCATGTTATTCGCTATATCGAGGTTCGCTGTAGAGAGGGGTGACTGTACATGCCAGACTTTTAAAGGTAAATTGTGAGGGCTTTTCTTACTTGTTTAACTTTAAAGAAACATTTTTAACGTTTCATTTTTTTTTAGGGATGCCAGATTTTTTGTACAAATTGAATTTTTAAAGATATTTGGATTTTTGTACAAATCTTTCGCTATGAACTTACAACGGTTTCTGTTTCCTAGTTTATTAAATGATTTTTTTATTATTTCTTTTGTTTTATTTTTTAATTTTATAATCAAGTTATATTTTACTTTTTTATTTTTATTTATTTAATATTTAATATTTTATTACTAAAAAAAATATATTATTTTAATTAATAATCACTAATTATATATATTAAAATCAAATCAAAGTAAAAATTTAAATATGAATAATATAATATTAAATTTATTAAAATATAAATTTTGATGCAAATTGATTGGTCAGTTTTTAACTATATAATATTTTATTCCAAACTTCTATTAAATGCATTATTTATGTGATTTTTGATGTTTTTTAAAAAAATTGCAATTTTTATAGCATTAATAATAATTAAGACATTAAGTGATAATTGGATAATAATAATTTAAATTAATAATTAAATTATAAAAAACAACAATATTGATAGTTTGTCAATTAATTTATTTAAATAATATATTCAATAATAAAAATAAATCAATTAATTAAATAATTGTAAAATATATTAAAATACCAGAAATTTTCTTTTTTTTCTTTTTTATAAAATACTAAACTTAAATAAATTAAATAAAATATTAATTAAATATTTTAAATTTTTTTCTTAAGAGCTAATGTTATATTAAAATTATTAATATTTGTTATTATTCAATACTTCAGTTATTTAGAAATATGCAGGATTTAATAACCAATATTTTTATTAGATATCCAAGATTAAAATCAGTATTAGTAACATTAATTCTTATTGGTTTTTACATTATTCCTAATAATCAAACTATAACTAAATTATTGGATAGAAAATATTGCCATATTGGTTTTCAGCTAATATTTCTATTTTCCCATCCAATAACTATTTATTATAATTAAACTATGTGCTAAAACTTATTTAGTATAAAATAAATTGAATTGTAATTTTAATTTTGCTAAACAACTGTACAAATATAATTTCATTTTAATCAAAATGTTGAAATTATATTTTCACAAAAAAAAGTTTATTTATTTTTTTTTTTGCAATATTATAATTAATTTAAAAACTTTTTAATAGTATATAGTATATACTTTTAATTAGATGAAGTAAATGTAAAAATATACATTATAAATAAGAAAAATAAATAAATAACAATTTGCAGCTCAGATAGTATTTCAATACTTTTATTTAATAATTCAACTTTCTTAATTATTTACTTTTTAAATGGTTTATTTCTTAAAAAAGATTATTTAATAAGATGGCATTATATAAATAAACAACAAACAAAGGATGCAATGGATCACATTATATTTCAAATTTAGTTTTTTATAATTAAATATGTAATTAATGATAAAATAATTACGAATTTTAAATACGTTTATATGATTAAGTTACACTGGAGTTCCATTACGTCATTTCTGGTCATCTCCTCAATAGGTGTTACTACAGAATGTTGGAAGAAAAATATTATTTAATTGGAACCTCATTCCGGATTTTTTTTAGAGCGCTCAAGTTATAAATTAATCAGAACAATCGTATTGTTGATATAGCGAGAATCCAGAAGATTTTGCCAGAATAGAATAACAAGAACTAAACTTTACATCATATAATATTAAATTAAATTGCTTCGCATCTTACAAATTGTTAGGCAAAAACAGAATTTTGATATATTTAGGTCATTTATTAGTCTTACCTTACCCGAAAAAATAAATGGATCGTTTTTAACATCATCGATTGAATTAACGCAAGTACATTAATTAAGAGAGGAAATTTCTAAATAAATTAGCACGACACTTAAATTTCTGGGTAGTATTATATACTGTATAACGATGACAAATTGGTATTTGTTGAAATAATTCATTCTGTCGGGAAACTCCATAAATTTATTTATAACGTGAATATTATGATATGATATTCACATGTAGGAATAAATTCACGTGTCATGATTCAAATATTCCGTTATTGATTTCTTTTGTCGTACAAAATTATGTAATAGTATAATGGCGTAATTTTGATTAAATACCCGATATAGTCTTTTAAATTGTAGACGAAGATTCTTTATAAAGGGCCAATTCTTTTATGTGCAATTTCAAGCCACAATACTTTACTTCTCCCATATTTTTCTGCTTTTGTAATTAGGGTTTTCTACTCCTAAAGGACAGACGTTTAATTTAACGCCACTTTATATAAAATTTATCTCCCTTTGATTTGAAATGAAATACAATACACTTCGGTTAAAATCAAATATATTATTACTTCCAAATGAATTATTAGCGGAAATTTGTGAGAATTTATCGCCGCAAGATCTGTATTCACTTTCTTCAGTATGTAAAGAGTTAAGGCATTTTTTATGGTCAGATAAATCAATTATTACACAGCAAGTTTGGCGTATTTCTCGTAATAAATTTTATCCCAATCTAAAATCTATTCCACTTGTTGGTATGAGCGAACAACAATATGTCTGGTTTACGGTTTTAGCTAAACAATGCCAATTTTGTAAAGAAAGTAATAAAAATTTATTGAAAAGATATTGGGAATTTCAAATTATTTGCTGTGATGAATGTCTAAATAAGCGAATTGAAAGGTATGTGTCAATTAGTTTTTAGTTGTGATATTTTTTATAATTTACATTTACTTATTTTCCTCTCACATTTTTACATTTGTTAATTATAGTCGTCAAACACTTGTGACAAAATATAATGTACCTGAAGATGTATTATCAACTTGTTTAAGTTTAGGAAATAGAGGTTATTTATTATCACATATAAAATCTGCTCAAATGGAATATTCAAAGGCTATAGATAAAGATTCTTGGGTTACACATAAACAAATGGAAATTATAAATCAAAAATGTATAATAATTTCCATATTATTTGATGAGTTTCGTTCCGATTATAAGCCAATGACAACCATTTCGTAATAGATTTGTATAATTAGATTGTAAAATATTTTACTTCATAGACTTTTATTAGGAGACATTAATTCACATAGATAATAGAAACAATAATGATAAAAATGTAATATTATTATTTACACATTGTAATTGGAGTAATTGTAAGATATAATTAAAGTAACTTTACAAGAAAATAGTTATATTTCTAAAAGTTTGGTAATTTCTTCTAGTTCTAACAAATCAATATCCATAATAATCTGGATCATAGCTTGACATGTGGAGTTACCTATATAATTTATTTAATTATAGACCAAATTTTTAAATAATATTAAAAATATTAATTTATAGTATATTAACATTATAATCATATAATAAAAATAATAAAATTAATTAAAAAGGACAAGATTTTGGAAATTCTAGCTATAAAGTAGCATATGGAATTTAGAATTAAATTAAAATTAGAAAATTATTAAATAATATCTAAAGCTTCTAATATAGTAAATATACAAATTTATATAATACAAATTAAAAAGAAAGTTAATTTAATGAAAATTTTTATTAATTTACATATTTTTAAAAGCTTTATATTTTAATGATAAAATACTAATTATTAAATAATATTATTTTTTTTTAATACAAAGAGTAACTATCCAAAATTATGCAAATCATTATATAATACTAGTATAATAAATAATTTACAATCTTATTTTTATAATTATAATATAAAAGCAAATTTTTTATATTTTATATTTTTTTGGAATTTTTAAAAAATATGAAATTACTTATTAATTTTAATTTTTATTATACAATTTATAAAACTTAAAATAGCATAATTTAATTAAAAATAAATTTAAATCTTACTCCCAGATGTGATGTTTAAATTTCACCTTTATTCCAAAAAAGGATATTTTGTATGCTGATTATTTAATTCTGACTAGAATTAATATATCATGTAATTTAACAAAAAATCTAAAAAAAAAATTGTCAAATAAATTAAAAATGACATTCAAAACCATCTTTAATATTTTAAGTAAACTTACAGAATAGAAAAAATATATATAGTAAATAATATCATACAGATGGTCTAATCTGTATCAAATTAAAGTTGATATTTTTGGCACAATTTAGGTGCTAATAATTCCAAATTCAGATTAATTATTTAACCAATATTTAGACCTAAATTGACCAATATCAGATATTTAACATTAAAAATTAGTAAGCTGAATTATAATTTAGCAACCACTTATTTATTTTCAAATTTATTTAATTTTATTATCAAATTTATTAAGGGACAGATCGGCACTCAATGAGAGAAAATGATTGGCAAACTATAATTAATTTAACGGGTTTCGTAATTAATAAAAAAAAAATTTTTGGAATTTTGCGTTCTTTACTATATAAACTGCCTCAATGAGCAAAACAAAACAGTATGAAGTAACCCTTCTGGCCAAGGGAATTATTTCAGAAGATTTACACTATGAAATACATGCACGAAATTGGTGG